TAGAGAGGGCTGAAAGCCCTATGAAGCGGTATATAAGTCTACTGCTAAGTCTACTGCTATTGCTAATAACCAAGCTTTGTGAAGAGAAAAAAAAAAATCAGTGATGAGTTTGAACGCTACCTCTGTTTTCTCAGGTCTCTTCCTGCTTAGCAGTCTTTATTTTGTAAAAGATGAACCAGTTTGTTAAATAACAGTTTTCCGCAAAATGCACATAATACTGGGAAGACCTCCATTTCCTAAACATCCAGTTTGGGAAACTTTTGAGTTTGTGATTCATACAAACTGAGTTTACAAGCTGAATTTGTTGGATGAGTAATACATTTGAACTGAATCTTGCACATCCATTCATCAGTTAAATTGTAGAAAAGATGAGATCTGACTACCAAAGTTTGTTTTTTTCTATGCAATACCAAGGATGTTGTAAAATGTTCATACATGTATTTATATTGTATAATATAAACATTAGAGATAATATTTTCTTTATATACCTCTGTAATATTTTTTTTTCATTGAAGTGTATTTATTACTGAACACAATAAAACTTGATATATTGAAATGTTACCTTTTTGGAAATTAAGAATAAATCCGAATCTAATGAAACAGAAGGCCGTTTGTTACAATGCTTTCTCTCAAAATGCAGAGGCAGCTTTTGACTTTTCAATCTGATTCTCCGAACAATTTCAGACTCATTTCCTTCCTAATTCTCTCTTTATGGGGTTACTCATAAAAGCAGCTAAAGATGGCCATAACATTGACAGGTAAAGGATTTTTGTTTGTTTGTTTGTCTTGGGGGAGGAGAATCAAATCAAATATACTTGAGAGAGGATCAGGAATATTTCAATCCCTAACAATACTTTTGAAGAACTTGGAATACTAGTTGATTACAAACTGAATGTGAGTGAACAGAGGTTGCCAAAGCAGAAAATGCAATTTTAGGCTGCATCAACAAAAGAGCTGTTTCTTAGACATAATAAACCATCCACTTATTCTGTATTTGGTCAGATCCCCAGCCTCAGCCCCTGTACTCTGGATGCCTTGTTTCAAATAA